CTCGCTCTTACATTTTCCTTTTTAAATTTATCTTAAAAATAATTCTTATTACAATGTTTTTCACAGTTCATAATATTATATGTGAAAAATGAGACCCAAGTTAATTTCATAACTTCTTAGCTAATTAATTTGAACCTACCATTTATCAGTCAATGACAGGACACAAAAACGATATTCCTATCAGGATATGATCCGTGGACATGAATAGTAGTAATACACCAACGACGTGATCGGTCCCGAAGGGAGAGATTCAGAGGGAACATGCCCTTTTGAACCAAACGAAAGAATGCAACCCGAGGACCGAGTAGTCGAGGCGGGACAAGGGCGTGGCCCCCCATGATGTAATGTATTACAACTTGATGGGACTTCAGAATGCGGTGACATCTCTTATAAAAGTATTAAGGTTAATTCGTGCATGAAGACACAGTACAATATAAATTAATTAATTAATTTAAAAAAATGAGGAGTAAAGATCCCTGAGAGCAGGAGCAAAGCCAAATATATAATTTATGGTGGACACACTTTAAGTATATTAGATAAAAATAGTGTGATATATTTATATTTTTTATATTAAATTTGATATTTAAAAATTCATTAAACATAAAAAATGTTTATTTGAAAAAAATTAATAAGATTACATCTATACATTAAGGATCAATAATATAATTTATTTGATACAAATAAAAACAATATTCTATAATTTTTAATTTTTTTATAGATTCTATATTTCACTCATTTTTGGTTATATAATCTATCATTTTTGAACCAAAGAAGACTTCAACAAATCATACCAATACTCTAAGGAATCAATTTTAATTTGCTAATTTTAAGAGATTTGGTATGGACTTTTTGTTTTTGTTTTTTTGTTCTAATACTCAACTTGTTTGATCCAATTAATTTTGTTTTTCATAAATTATTACAGTGGGCCCAACTAATCTAAAAAATATATATAAAGCATATATAATTAAAAAATTATTTTTTTTAGGGTGGCCCTAGGCTTCTCCTCCCTCTGCCACTTCCAGAGAAAGAGAATGAAGAGTGAGAAGAGGAAAGTAAAATTTAATATGAATGGTATTGAGAGAGATGTTGGTGGCCGTTGGATGAGTTTATTTGAGATTGTCAGATGGATTTGTTGAACCCGCCTTGTTATATATTATAGAATCCACAAAATATAATAGAATTGACTTTAAAAAACATTAATTTATATACATGTAATCAAAATAGAATATTAATTTATATACATTTAATCAAAATCGAGTCAAATTTAATACAAACTAAAAATCTAATTTATCAAAAGACATATCACCAAAATATTTTCTATCAAAAAAATATCTATAAATATTATTTATAAAATATTTATTTTTTTTATTAGTGCAAGTTATTAGAAAATTATTAATTTATAAGAATATATTAGCGTTGAATTTTCTTAAAAGATAAAAAAAATAGTCTTGAATCTTTGATTCAAGACATGTCTAAGACATGTTAGTTTGAAATAATTAATTAAATAAAAAAAATTAAAATTAATTATATTCAATATAAATGTGTTAAACAACGCCCTTATTTTTTTTAATCTGTTAAATTGATGAGTTTTTTTTAATCAAAATATTATCATTGTCTCTTATACAAATTTAAAATTTTATACTACACAATTGATATTAATGACAAATTTGAACCATTTAATTATTATGTTAGAGAAAATCTTGTAATCTAAATCAGCCGTAATCTTTGACTGGTTGGGAGGAAAAATATTAAGAAAAAAATGTTAATTTCTTGACCGTTGGATGAATAAATTTGAGACAATAAGATGTGTTCCAACATCAGTTGTAATCGTTAACCGGTTGAGAGGAAAAATATTAAGGAAAAAATGATAATTTCTTGACCGTTAGATGAATGAATTTGAAACCGTAGGATGAACATGTAGAAACCGTCATGTTTTATATTATAGATTATAGATATAGATTTGACACAAATAAAAGTAATATTCTATATTTTTTTTGAATTACAAATTCCATATTTTACTCATTTGATTATGTATTCCATAATTTTTTAACCAAATGAGGTTTTAACATATCATACCAATACTCTAAATAATCAATTTAGTTTACTAATTTTAAAAGATTGGTATGAACTTTTTGTTTTTGTTTTTTTGTTCTAGTACCCAACTTGTTTGACCTAATTAATTTTGTTTTTCATAAATCATTGAAGTGGGCCTAATTAATCCAAAACATATATATATATATATATATATATATATATATATATATATATATATAACTAAAAAAATATATATTTTTTCAGAGTGACCTCAGACCCCTCCATCTTTGCTACTACTAGAGAGAGAGAGAGTGAAGACTAAGAAGTAAAGGGCAAAATTCAATATGAATGATTTTGAGGGAAAAATTGATGGTCATTGGATGAATGAATTTTAGACCATAGGATAGGCCTGTTGAAGTCGCCCTATTTTATATTATGAATATTATAGATAAAATCACGAAATATGATAAAATTAACTTTAAAAAAATGTTAATTTACATGTAATCAAAATCGAGTTAAATTTAATACAAACTAAAAATTTAATTTATCAAAAAACATATCGCCAAAATATTTTCTATCAAAAAAATATTTATAAATATCATTTATAAAATATTAATTTTTAATTAGTACAAGCTATTACAAAATTATTAATTTAAAAGATTATATTAGCATTGGATTTCCTTAAGATATAAAAAAAATTAGTCTTGAATTTTTAATTCAAAATATGTATAAGATATGTTAGTTTGAGATAATTAATTAAATAAATAAAATTAAAATTAATTATATTCAATATAAATGTGTTAAGCAATGACTTTGTTTTTGTTTTATCTTAAATAAATTGATGAGTTTTTTTAATCAAAATGTTATCATTGTGTCTTATACAAATTTAAAATATTACACTACATAGATGATATTAATAGCAAATTTGGCCAATTTAATTATTATGTTAGAGAAAATCTTAAATTCCAATATTTGTCGTAATCGTTGACCGGATGGGAGGAAAAATATTAAGGAAAAAATGTTAATTTTTTGACCGTTTGATGAATGAATTTGAAACCGTAAGATATGTTTCAATATCAGCCGTAATCGTTGACTTATTGGGAGAGAATATTGAGTCAAAAAATTATAATTTTTTGACCATTAAATGAATAAATTTAAGACCGTATGATGAACTTATTGGAGCCGCCCTATTTTATAAATTCAATTGTTCAATGAATTGGTTGTCAGGTACTCAATCAAAGGCACCTTAGTACAGTGAAAAAACATTATTCTCCTTTTAAGCATCTTTATCAAAGTAAAAACATACAAGTCTTTTCGAACACTACTACAAAGTTGAAACTTGGTTCTACATGCCCTCTCTCTCGCGCAACGGTGCTTATATCAGGGCGTACGGAAGGGTAATAAGGTGGGTGTTTCATGATCTCTCCACAATCTCTCGGGTCGTTTGTTTCAAGAATTAGAGTGGTATAAGGATATGGTATTAAAGAAAAAGTACATGAGATTCATCTTATATCTTATTTGTTTAATATTTTATAGTTAGTACTATTTTTGGGATCGTAATACCGATCCGCAATGAACAATAATCATAATGCCTTGTAGATGGTCTTAATGAATACCATCCGGTACAAATAAGATGGATATATAATAGAGTAAAAAGACCCAACTGCCCTTATGTACAATTGTCTTTTTAATGTTACAAGGTTACAATTGTCTTTTTACGGTCATAGCCGCAATTATTGATTTTTTTAAGTAGGTATTACACAGATAATGTTTGTGAAAAATAAACAAGGGGAAGATGAAATTATAATTTAAAACCGGATATAATATATCATTGGATCGGAGTGAAATAGATATAAAATCTTATACCACCTAAATCTTATACTCTAAACAAACGGCCCCTTGTTGTATACATGTAAATCTATTTGGTTCTTGGGATTTTGAATGGAGAAAACGAAGTAAAATGCTTACCATCATTCATAAGAGTGATCCTAGAGCTTTCTTCTCTTTAAAAATACCCACATTCTGATTTTAGCATGTAATTAATCATAAATTGCCTCATATAGAACTGGTTGATGTTGAAGCAAGAAACACCCATCTTCAAGCGCTTTAAAAGATGATGAAATTCTTATATATGTATTGCAACTTATACTTTAAAAGGAAATTATTATTCTTCAAATTTGATTTTTTTCCTTGGCTGACATTTGAGCATAGAATCAAATTTAAGCATAGCATCAAAAGGTGGACTACCAAAATCTGTTCATATGTGTGTGCGTCTGTGTGGCTGCGTTTATGTTTGTAGTTTGTTGCCCACAATTCAAACACACACACTTACACAAATATACACACATACATATGTCTGCATTTATTCGATAATCGTATCATCCCAGGACAATGTAAGCTTGTTTCGTAATAAGGTGTGCATAGGGTTTTAGCACGCACACGAATAGGGTTTTGCACAATAATTTTTACTCTCTTAAATCATTTTTTAAAAATTAATTTATCCCCCTCTCCATAAGTGGATTTGCACATGAGCCTGACAATGTTAATGACCAAAAGCTTTGTGAGCTTATTGGTATTATGTTCTTTCTCTGCTAATCACTTTAGCGGTTACCTAGATCAATTTACAGAAACTATTAATTTACCTTTTAAGAGTGTAATGTCATAATCTCAACAAGCTTTGCACTAGAAATATAAAATCAAGTCGTAGGGAGCATCATTGCTATATAGATTGCATAAAATCTCTGGGTGCATTTCAATTGTCCAAAACTTACCCTTAACTAATGTTTGATATTCATAAGAGTGACCCTTTTAATTTTTTTTCCATATATTTACCATGTTTGATATTTGTAAATTATGCAACATGATATTGATGATATAAATATACATTGTAAGATGAGGTTATAGTTAACTTAATTATATATATTTATATTTTTTTAATAAATTTAATAATAATTTTTACTACTTAAATTTTCCTAGACCTCATACAATTCTACGAGAGCTTTGGAAAGACTGTCTTTCTTTATTTTGATTTTGTCACGAAATGATACCCTTTGAATCATAATGACAAATGATTTCCTGCTTGAAGTGTCCAATACCAAACGTTACTGCTACCAAGAAATTCCTTACATTTTAAGGCAGTGGATCTTTCATCTGTGTCATGGCTGAGAGATGATCCAATTTTTTTTGGCTTAAGTAGGCACTTTACTACCCTTGACTATTGGTCTCTCTTTGAACCATTCACTTATGACTTCTCTATTCTGGAGATCCGGATTCAATGTTGTAACTTCGCTAAGCTGTTGAAATTTTGTGACCTCATGGAGTACTCCTTTATCAGTTTTGAGAAGAAAGAATCCTCTCTCTCCAGTAGCTTTGCTGGTGTATCATACTCTGCTATCCTTCCTGTTCACAGAAAAATGATTTGTTTTTATCATCCCCAAAAAGCAAAATAATCAGCTCAATGATATATATGTGCATCCTATTGTTGTGTCTTTCTGTTTTTAATAAGAAAAATTTGTGTGTGTGTGTGTTATATGATGATGCTTACCATCACTAAGGACCAAGACAAGATCACTATCTATAACCGTATGGATCCTGTGTGCAATTGTGACAACAGTTCGGTCTTTAAACTCCTGACTAATGACCTTCTGTATCACTCCATCAGTTGCAGAATCAACTGATGCTGTTGCTTCATCTAGCACAAGAATGCTGCTTTTCTTTAGCAAGGCCCTTCCCAGACAGAATAACTGCCGTTGACCAACGCTCCAGTTTTCTCCACTTTCTACCACTGTCCGAGCCATAGATATTAGTTCCTCTCATCAGCAAAGACTAGCACTAAAACCACAAAAGTAAAAAATAGGCGAATCTGACCTGTAGATTCCAGCTTTTCTTCCTTTGTACGCACTAGTTCACCTAGTTGACATTTGTCCAGAGCCTGAATCAACAAAAACATGAATTTTCTCCATTATTAATCAATTCACTTCGAACCCCCCCCCCCCCCCAGCGCGAGCCTCTCTTATAACTTCATAAGTGAAACTGATTCTAGGCTATATACAGGATCATTTTTCTACTTCTTGTGGGACAAGTATTATATTTTTTCCACCTAACCAACGCTGCCTACATGTCCACCTTTTGGCCTTAGTTTACAGTCAAATGCCAGAAATTCAGCCTCATATTATTCATCACTGCACTGATTTGGTTCTGTTCATTTTTGTTTCCAGACAAAAACGTAATACTTATTCTGCATTCACTTGTATTCAGAACAAGGACACAAAGTTTTGGAGGAGATTTGATCCAATAATCATAATTATTTTTGCGCTATGGACAGGATGCAACAGTTTACCTCCCATATTTCAGCATCAGAATGTTGCTCTAGTGGGTCGAGGTTCCCTCGAACTGTTCCCTCAAACATTGTTGGGTCCTGTGGAATAATGCTTAGCCTGGATCTCAAATCATGAATGCCTATCTTGGAAATATTTACATCGTCAATTATGATGCTTCCTTCTCTAGGTTCCACAACCCGAAAGATGGCCTGGATGAGGGTTGATTTACCGCTCCCTGTCCTTCCGACTACACCAACTTTCTTCCGACCTGGAAAGGTGCAGGAAATGTTTTTCAAGACAGATGGTAGATGTTCGGCATAACGAATCTGCAACCACAGGCACATATGTGTATGAGGAAATGTGAAAAAACAAATTTGAGGAAGAATATGCTCCTTTTTTTCCATTGAGCTTGGCAGAATCCCTTAGACTTGTACTCATAAGAAATGTCGAATTATGAGGGAAATTTTTTGATATAGATATATCTGTTGCTGATATAGCAAAACTTGCTCTAGAGGCTCACCTTTAAGTTTGTGAAGCAAATTGTTCCATTATCTGGCCAGTTGTTCGGTGGTCTGCAATCTTCAATCACCAGAGGTGCTTCACTCGAAATATTTGAATACTGTAGAATTCTCTCAACTGATATCATTTTATTTTCTGTGTTGCATATGTTCCATATAACTGAAGCTTGCAACACATTCAAATTAATTCCATATGTTACTGCCAACCCTGCAAGGCCTGTAGAAGTATCCAAATCCAGGTAAGGTGTCAGTGCATTGACTAGTATTTAAGAATGTAAGCTAGTTCTATATCTCATGTGAGAATAGAAAATTAATCAAATAGTGTCGGGCAGCCCGCAATGATGTGCACTGGATTGGTATCCACTCTTTTGGTCATCCTTCCCAGGTTCCTGATTGTGTTTAAGGGAAGCAAAAGAAATCTTGTGGGTTTCACATTTTGGGTCCATCTGATCAATTGTGTCTACTACCTTGCAACTCAGGCAAAAGAAATAAAGAAAAGGAAAGCTGTATTAAATAGTTTCTGCTGCTCACTTGGATTAATAATTCCTTCAGGGAGGGTCACAAGGACAACGAGGGAGAAGGCGAAAACAAAATTTGCTAACTGGTTCAGTCTGAAAGAAAGCCATTCCATTGCTGACACATTATGAAACCATGGCCTAGAGTGACTGTCAATGAGCAGGAGGTTTGCGTCAATGAAGCGGTCCTTTTGGTCAAAAGCACGAATTGTAGCAGCTCCTGTAAGTGATTCTGCAAAGTGATGGAGGATCGGAGCTCTTTGTATCCCTGATAAGCGGGCTAGTTCTCTTGCTGTTGGTATGTAATATTGCTAAAACCATCATAAACAAATTCTACGTCAATATTCACAACATAACAATTATTAAGGGTTTACTTGAAGATGAAAGCCATGTGTGAATGGAATCAACTCTTGTCATTCGCAGGATTTATGTCAGTCTTTATTTTCTTTGATAGAAATGCAATCAGTGTGTGCGCTTTTCTAGAAACTTCATCAATACATGACGAACTTCAGAATTAAAATATTTTGAATGGAAAATCGATCCCACGAGTATCATGTCTCAATATGGGTGTTTTGAGACATGATACTCATGGGTTCAAAAAAAAAAAAAAGTCTTGATATGGATGTTATAGACTAAAGGTATAAGGAATGTCTTACTTGGTACCATATGCAGATGGCCGTTACAGGAATGAAGATGATGAATACTTCCCATGCTACCTGGGACATGACGGCAATGGTCCCCAGAAGCTGAATTATTGAGAAAGCACACCAACCTAATTTGTTTGCCATCTCCAAGTCGAGTACGCTTTGGTCTGTAGATGCCTGTGCATAAATAAGTATTGATGTGAGCATCTTTAGTAACATGACTTATTTTTTTGATAGGAAAGAGTACTATTTTATTGATTTGAAAATAATACATCAAAGATGTAATAGGATGGGCAAGCTGTCCTACAATGAAAGGCAAAAAAACACAAAAAACTCATAGCATAAAATCTAAGGGGCACATGAGGCCTTCCAGTCCGCCAATATACACTTAGTAACATGACTCATAAATGTCTGAAGAAACAAATCTATCTGAACTTTTAGTTTCATCTTTCATATTTAGTAAGTCAAAATGGATGAGCAATCTTTTCACTCCTCTTCCCTTTTTCTCTTTAGTATTTTAAACTTTTTGTTTCATCCAGTATTGAACAAAGACTGCATTGACAAATTTAAAAGCAGAGCCCAGGTTCAATTTCAAGCATTTCGGTCTAGAGGTATTTTTGTATCTGTTTCTCAAATAATATTTCAGGTTATAAAATGATTCCATTAAAAAGAAATTATAATTAACACTTGTTTGTGTGGCTAGTAAGACACACACACACACACACACATGGAGAGGGAGAGGGAGAGAGAGAGAGAGAGATGGCAATAATCACCTCACAAGTGTTTCATGATTTGTAAATAAATTTTGGAGTTTTGACTGGTTGGTTGTGAATCTGCTTTTTTCCCTGAGAAACGGTAGAGTTGGTTGTGAATCTTGAAAAGATATTTATTTCTTCTTGTATGCACAATTCTCATTCAGGTTGGATGATGTCGTGCTGAAACAATGCCTTTTACTTTTAGCCATTGTGGTGTCTTTTCTATTGCTTTTTCTTTGAATATTTTCCTCTGAAATTAATTTCCATTAACTTGTCCAACTTTGTGAGCGATGATAAAGTATTTTATAAGATTTCCATAAAATAATTTGTTGCGTGAACGTGTGTCTTTTACATGTATTCCTTATAGAGTTAATTTTACTAATTACTCATAATATGAAACTTACCATTTGAAATGAGTTTTCAGTTGATATTAGTTTTTTCCCCTCATCTATTTGTAGCATATCCTATTTTCCTTGATTCTGTTGCTATACTTGCAAATTCCATCATGCGTATTGGGATGCTGTTACATTATATTACTTGACAAGCAGAAATAAGAACAAAATATGGCTACAGTGACCTCTATCTTACTCACCCGATTTAAGATTCTTCCAGTTGGGGTTGAATCAAAGAATGCCATGGGAGCGCGGAGGAAACTGTTCAGCATGTTGCTGAAGAGCTTTTGTGCTGTTTGGAGGCCCGTTATAGCCACTAATGTGGCTCGAACCAGCACACAAATAGAACTTCCAACGGCAAGAAGCATGTAAACAAGCAATATGAAATTCATCGCAATTGTTGGCTCAGTATTGCCTGTTGGACAAGCCCATGCCATCCAGTAGTTGCTCGCTATCTGCAATATTTGGAATGATGACTGGGCCAGAATTATGATTGGAACTAAGGCACCACCTTTCACAGTGGTAAGGTAAGACCAGTAAACTTCTTTTCCAATGCTTCCTTTCTCTCTCTCTTCATCCTGCACCAATCTCCCTTCCTTTTCTGTTATCTCAACGCAGAGGTTGTGCCTCGAGTCTTGCTTAGTGGGTGGAAATTCTGCATCTGGCCCGGGCTCTGTATTGGATTCACCATCAGTTGTTGCATGTTCTGTTGTTCTGCTTGAGCTTTCCGCTGTCAGTATTGATTCCAGAGCTTGGTTATGAGCTCCAACTAGAACCTCAAATCCAATATTTTGTTTCATAAGTTCTTCAAATGTACCAGCTTGTGCAATTCTTCCATTTTGCATCACCTGTTGGCATATATGATATTAGCATCTGATACTTTTTATTACCGATGTTCTTTCAAATTTTCGTCTGAAAATGTGGTTAAGGATACTTTGTATTTTCTTTGAATGTAGTTACGGTTGTAAAAAATATAATGTTTTCTGATTTTAAATTATTAAACCCAAAGAATATGGAGAGTTTCTAAATATTTTCAGAAGTACACAACATCTTCAGTTTTAAAAAAGTACTATGTTCTGTATCACTCAAACCTATTTATCTGAATTCTCTTTGGCCCAAGCACTCAGCCTAAAAAATTATAAGTAGTTCCTTAGTTGTACTCTACATTTTCATTACACATGCGGAATTTTGATTTTAACTCAGCAATTGCTTTCGAAATTGGATACCAAAAAAATTAAGATTCACAGCATAGATTCAGTTTCTAGCATCAATAGAATCACATCATAGATTTTCAATAAGAAGCTCATGACACAAAAAACAAATACTGCTTAGGCCATACCAGAATTAAATCTGCTGCTGGGAGGAACTCAACTTGGTGAGTCACATAAAGGATAGTCTTGTCCTTAAGAATGCCCATCAAGCAGTCCTGTATAGAATACATAAAGCAGAAGATCAGTCACCAAAATCCTTGTATGCATAGAACCGACACTCATTATCAACTGTATCGTGAAGAGTCTCGAACTTCTAACCTCAAAAAGTTGTCTGCCTGTATGGGCGTCCACAGCACTAAAAGGGTCATCGAGCAGATATATATCGGCATCCTGGTAGACTGCACGAGCAATTTGTATCCTTTGCTTCTGGCCTCCACTCATATTTATCCCTCTTTCTCCAATCTCTGTTAGATCACCAGCAGAGAAAAGCTCAAAATCTTTTGTCAGAGCACATGCTTCAACAGTTTTGTCATACTTAACACTATCGTAAGGCTTGCCAAAGAGAATATTTTCTCTGACATTTCCTGTCAGTATCCATGCGGACTGAGGAACATAGGCCTTTCTACCACTGATCTTCACTCTTCCTGAGAGTTTGGGCATTTCTCCCAGCATGCATGAGATCAAACTTGACTTTCCGGACCCTACTGTGCCACAGATGGCCACCTTCATTCCCCTCTTCACTTTTAACTGTATCCCGTCAAGAGTTGGGCGTCTTGATTCAGTATCCCAGCTAAAATTTCCACTATCAATCTGAATGTCAAATTCTGTTTGATCTTTAGGAACAGATTCAGTTGCATCTGACGGAATTTCATGTTCTTGTAGGTAAGAAGCAACTCTATCTGCAGATACTTTGCCCTGTGCAACGACAGAGAGTAAATCAGGCAAATTGAATATAGGATCTTGTAACATTCGGAATGTAGCCAGTGCAGATAAGACTCGCCCTGCCGTGAGTGGAATCCCCATTAAAGCACACCCCCCAAAAGTGACCACAGATATAAACGCTGGAGAACCCCAGAAAATAAAACTTGATACTGCTGACAATCGTAATGACTTCCATAGCCAATTATACTCTGTTTTCCTTAGGCTTTCTAGCTTGTGAAGATAATGACTGTCCCATGCTTGAAGCTTGAGGGTCTTCATGTTTCGAAGCACTTCTGAAGTAGCTTTCATCCTGTCATCTTTGGCATCCATGATTTTAGACTGATATCTCTTCTGTACTCTAGTCAATGGTATGTTGCCAGCCATCACTGTCATAGTTGCTGCCAATGCCACAAGTGATCCTAATCCCAGATTCATATGTAGGATATAGACTGCTAAGGAAATTTGTACAGGTAACATCCAAATTGTGTTCACGTACCACATGAAGTCTGTGATTCTTTGAATGTCCACGCTCATATAGTTGATGATCTCTCCACTGGTGTGGCTTTGGCGGGATTGGCTCGACAGTACGAGGCCTTTTTTGTAAATGTGAGATATCAGAGAAGCTCTCAGCCGAAGGCCTAGCTGGCGAGCCCCAAAAATCCACTGCCTTTGTGTTATTGTCTCAACAATTTTTGCACCAAGAAAGCCTAGTGCGAGAAGGTAGCCACTTCCTAAGGTCTGAGTGTTCTTGTTACTTAAGAAATTTATGAAGTCGTCAATGAGGTATGGGCCAACATATGATGCACTGGCACTTATCACTGCAAAGAATGCATTGATTGCTGCTTTTTGCCTGGCAAACAAGAATATTGCTTTATAGATGGATGGATTTGTGGTTCCATCTCTCTCCTTGACAAGTTTAAGGCTTTCATCAAAGGAATGTGATAAAAATCCAGCAGAGTCCTTGATGTCAACATTTGGGACTTCATCCTGGTCAAGAGGTTTCTTAATCCCAACCTCAAATAATGCATTGAGCCAAGAGAAGGTGATGAGTTGGAAAAGAGTAGCTTTTCCATATGGACAGTCCTTCTTGCCTTCCGAATGCTTTGTGTCTTTGCCACTGAGAAGTGGGTCCGTTATGCCATTTGGGTAGTTGAGGACTATGCCTGTCTTTCCTCGAATTGAAACACCCAGAAGACAGGTGGATGCAAGAAGATCAAGGAAATCAAAACAGTCATGTGCTCCAATGTGGGCATGGGTTGTTACTATGAGATGGGCATCAATAATTGTGCAAGCAATAGACAGCAAGAAGCTGCAAAACCACCAGGTTCGTAGAATCCAAGGGAACCTGATGTCTTTATTCTTTTGAATCTTGTACAGTGCAATCAATGTAATTGCCCATGATAGCACTTTCATGATCTCTGATGAAAGAATTGGGATTGTCGACTTGCAGTGCGCCACATTTCTACTTTGCGGCATCATCAGCATCATCAAATGGGTTCCCAGCAATAGAATGGCACAGCCAATGCTGATTTTGTAAGAGAGGCCGGATTTTGCACCAATGGAGTATTTTTCTGCACTCATCACTTTTGTTCTGCGTCTGCATAATGATTCCATGCTTTTCCGTACAAAGAGGAGTAATAAGATTCCGAGGAACCCGATCTCCAGAACTATGCTGGCATGCTCCCATAGGCAGGGTGAATTTAGCTGCGGCCATGACATTCGAAACTGAAAAGACTTCAAATCTGATACACATCACAAACAATAACATTCAGGATCTTTGTTGTAGAGTGGAAAACTAGAGCTAAATGCCATCCTAGTGCTTGCAGATACTCTGACTGAGTGGCTTTACTGGGTTTTTTCTACCTCTGCGCCATACTTATTGGCAGAGTGCAAATAGACGACTTGATGGAAATTTACAGATGATGAGAACTTTCTTAGTAACTCTACAGGAAATTTAATTACATATGCTAAATAAATGCAAATGATCACTTATGCAGAAGTTATTCATCTCATTTTGCATAATCCTGCATTTGCCAAGTAATGGTGCTGTTGAGAAAAGATCGGAAGCAGTATTTGGAAGCTGACTAAGTCTTAGGCACCGTCGTTGATATGTTTGTGCAGCTGCAGGAGTGTATGGATGAGGTTGTTATCAGGCATAAGACCTAGAGTACTTGGCAAAAGCAAATTGTCCATGCAAGATTAGAACCAGATGCGCATCAAGGAACTATTTCCTCTCAGCTTGATCAACAAAAAGCTTGCTATCTGTATCCAGGTTTGAACGTTTTGTTGTGTAGTTTTCTTTGGTTGAAATTGAAGCCAATACATGTTGAATGTCACGCTGAATATCCAATCAATACATTATGACATTCAAAGAGCTTTGCTTCGCACTTTGCTTGAACGTTTCACAGTAACTAAAAACTCATATAGGTGTGTATGTGTTTATATATATATATATTACTTAGTTCTGATGAATTTATGTCACATTTACATGCATGCAGTCTGTAAAATGATTGGATTTGGAGTGAACTACTGACTCAACCTGAGAATGTGTGGTTTGAAAATTTGATAGATCAATGAGAAACCCATGCAAATTAATGAGTGGTTTGAAAATTTGGCAGACCAACGAAATATATATAAAAATTCAAATTTGATAAGATAGATATTGATCATCATGGAAGGACTTTTTTTCCGTTGGGGGAAGGGAAGATAGTTAAGAATTAGAGCCAAAAGGTGTTTGCAAGTGTGCACTCCTTGCAATGATTTTCTCGGCTTCCCTCACCTGAAGAGATCTGATTTGAAGGCATGAGAAGTGCTCATCTGCTTGGGCAATATGTGGAACTTGAGTTCAGGAATCAATCTCGTTAAAATGAAGGTGGAGGAGAGGTAATGGTTATAGATGTGAACCTTGTCGACTACAGATAGCATCGTGTTAAACTAAAAAGACTTGATTGTTTTCGTGATATAATAATCATAAGGTACTACCTTGGAGTTTTCTCCCATTGGAGTTGAAAGGAATGAGTGCCAAATTTTCAAGGTCATATAATACCATTGGTAACCGACCTCAATTATGCTAAGTGAGGCAATCTCTTAAGGCCATCTCTTGGCATAGAGAAACTCTCTGGTGAATATAAGTAAAAAGAAAGAGGGAAGGTGTTCTTTGTTTTGTTCACTTGATTAGGAAAATCTGGGAATGCTAATGCATATTTGTTGGTGAGGTTGAGAGAGAGACTGCTTGTTTTTTTTTTTTTTCCAGTTTCTTTGAAAAATATATTTTTTATATGTTTTCATGATTTTTTTTTTTTATATTTTCAACAAGAACAAAGTTGATATTTTAAGAAAAATATTGTTGACATTAATAAAATCTAGTTGATTAACTACCGACTAAGTATAAATTGACCTTGAGGAATAAAATGTAATAACTACAAATCTCGAGGATAACAAGATCCAGACCAGGAAATAGGAAATGTGATGTGTTAATGGCCTATTGAAATTAGTCATGTCTGTTGTTGTGTATGTGAGATATGAGGAGGTATACAATTTTTTAATTCATCCCTGCCGTCTCTTCTCTTCCATAATAGGTCAGCCCGCTCCATCTACAATCCCAGTGATAATCAAGTGTTTCATGGTTTCTTCATGCTTCATATTGTCTCACTCATCATTTGTGAGTTCTTTTTCTTTTGGTTGATCTTTATGCTCTAAGTTGTTTTGTGCACGGCAATATGTCTAAGCTAGTCTTTAATTGACAGAAGATGGGAGTCACTAGGTGGCATTAAAAGATCAAATTCAGGTTTTCGACTGGGTAAGACAGACTATATCTTGTTTTAGTTATACGTCTGGCAAGGCTCAAACTCCTAACCTCTTAGTGAAGTTCTGGTCCTTGTCAGCTGAGTTATCTCGCACTGGTTTATGCTTTGCTATGCTGAAGTTAGCTTTTAGGACCCCAATGCTCTTTATACTACATTTTTTTTTGGGATTTTAATAAAAGGAAACTTTAAATAAAATGCTTTTTTATTTTTTGCTGAAATAACATTTTCAGTAGGGAAAATGTTATGAATGAAGTACAACTCAAGAGGTTAAACTTTGACTTTAATCAATTAAATTCTTTAAACATTAGGTTTTTCGTACTTTATATGATTTCACTCCCCTAGTAAGGACAGCTTTATTAGAAAATTAGGCCCCAGAACATTATGTTTCTATTTTGCTAAATTAATTGCTTTTAAGTTCTAATATGTAACCTCCAAAGTTTTACATTGATGCTTATAAGCTTTGTATATTGCCGAGATTATTCCAATTGAGGTCAGAATTAGATGGTAAGTGCTTACCCATGCAAATGATACATTGCAATTCCGAATCAACGTGTCGATCTTTCTCGAGGGGATAAAGTTGCCTACCACTTATTCGTTCACACCTGTTATAGGTAAATATTCATGCACTGGGTAGGATTTATTCTTTTTTTTTTTTTTTTTTTTTGGGGGGGGGTGGGGGGTAAATTTACTCTTGTCTTTTGCAGAAAATTTGCTTAGGAACTAGGAAAATGTAAATATGTATCATCGTCAATCCTGGCAGGGGACACAATACGGACAAATGACGAATTGACTTCCATCTTTGCATATAACTTATGCATCAATTCTGGAACTGTAAAAGACATTGTAGCAAAATGCAACAAATTTAGAACACACAATCCTAGGAAAGCAAGAACTTGCTCAAAGGAGAAATAATATATAAGCTCGAGTGAATAAAAGAGGATTTTACCAGAAAGCAAACAACTTTAGTATTTTTTTTTTTAACTGAAACAACTTTAGTGAATGTTAGATTATTTGCAGCATTCAGTCCTAGACATGAACTAATACTTCTTGTTGTAAATGAGCACTACTGTGTGTGCATGCATGGCTGTAGATGGAGATCCTTATGAAAAAACTACCGTAATGAGCTCAATATCATACCGAAAGTTATAACTCAATAGGGATTAGTAATAACCCAAATAAATCAATTCACGAGTCAAACCAAGTTATGACTCAAAAAAGTTAGCATAGATCCTAAATATGAAGTGTTAATATCGATCCCAACACGTATGCTTGAATCATAATTATACCTGATTGAATCATGACTTTTAATAAGATATAAGTTACTAGCAGAGTCTTTCCTTTCTTATGAAGACAGTTAGAACTTACTTGTTATGATGCTGGAATGAAAGATTGCTTCCAACAACATCCTTCCCTCTCCAGCTTGACCTCCAATGGTTCTTTCTACCCTTGCTGATGGATGTATTCTAAACAACTTCAGAGTTCTGGGAGTGATGATATAGTACCAGAACTATGTCTAATACAGCAAGTTGGGCAAGTGAATTCGAGGATGTTGGAGAGATCTTGTTCAGTTTTGGGATCCACAGTGACTATGAGAAAGTGTACATGTGCATATGTGTGTGTGTGTGAGAGAGAGAGAGAGAGAGAGTGACAGAGATGCGGAAAGCACAAGAATATTATTGTAGGGGAATTTGTATGTTTGTGTAGCGCTGTCTTATATAATAATGTAATATATATAACATATAGGATGGGGCCATTGCGTAGCAGTAAAGTTGTTTCACTGCGTCCAAAGTTCAAGTCGTAGGAAAAGCCTTTTATGCACTTCTACTTTGCCTAGATCCCACAGTGACGAGAGCTTGTGCATTAGACTTCTCTTTATGTAGAGAGATGATATTGTATTTTTAAGGACGATCATTTTGCTGCTTGTTTAACCTTAGTGCTGATGTTTTCTAGTGTGTCATTAGGAGAAGGTATTTGAGAAGCACATAAAGCCAAGTCATGGGTTGAGAGAGAGAGAGAGAAAGAGAGAGAGAGAGAGAGAGAGAGAGACTGATTGAACATAGAGGTTGAGCTGTAAACCTAGTCACTGCACTAGTTTGTGATGGGATGATATAGTATAGAGGTCTGAGTTTTATCAGTTTAAGTGGTCGACAACCCTTGATGGTAGCAAACTAGCAAATTCCAATGGAACTTTAGTGCCTTTGTTTTTTGTCAAGTTGTGTTGAGGAAATTGTTAATAACCCATGGAAAAGAGTGGGGTCTTATATCATTGAACCATTATAGATCCAAGCTTTGGAGAAGTAGGTGGCATAATATTGGGGTTTTTTTTTTTTTTTGAGGGGGGAGTGTTTGAGTTTTTCAAGCTTATGAATCGAGAATGAAAAGAAAAAATAAAATTGTTGACGACGTTTGAACTAGTGAAAGACAGGTCTCATTTTTCAAAATTACCTTTTGTGTTGTATGAAATCTTACTGTCAATTAAAAGTTATTGAGTTAGAAATAGAATATCTCAAAAAGAGAATGAATATTTTTTACCCAATTCGTAGACAAGTTCATTTTTTCTTCTTTTTTTAAGGAAAATACACATCATGTTTGTTCATTAACAATTGTCAAATGATACAAACCACAAGGACGACTAACATGAACAAAGACAAAAACTATTAAATAAAATATTTCTTATTTTAATTGGTAATTATAATATATAGAGTGAGAAAAGTTTTGTATACCGACTTTCTCGAGATCATACAGTGGTTGGAGTTTTTGCATTAGTCACCCTTTTAACATGGAGATGGAATCTCACGCCTTCATTACTAAGAAGGAGACACCTTACCATATTTAGGTTTTTTTTCATAATTTTAAGCTTTTTTTATATTTTTTGGGCCTTCGTAATTAAAGATTATCGAATATTACAAAATCTTTTTGAGCCTTTCTTCTATATT